AGTTGTGGACAAAATTGAGCAAAGGCCTAACTCATTTTTTTTTTCTCTGTAAAATGTCCAATGTTACTGGATTTCCTTCTCCTAAACATAAGTCTTGACTTGTTCTCTGACCTGGTCATGCCTTGTCTCTGTCATTACTGAGGAAAGATTGCAGATACTAGCGCTAAGCAAGGAATGACTTCACGGCCAATAACAGGGACGCGCTAGCCACATACAAAGCCATTCAGACCGGGTAAGTTAAGACACATAAAATGCTTAGAATTACGGACAATAGTAAATGATCTGTAAAGTGGAATGATCAGAGTTTCGTGAATTAAAAATGATCATTTTTCCTTCATGTACATGAGGCATTTTATACAGTGAAATCTGTGTGAGCCGGAACTCAATGTTACTGCCTTGTTTTTCCAGATCCCGCAAGTTTTACGCCTTTGACAGGATGCAGTCCTACCACTCTTCTCTTGCTCTTTTTAGTGGAAAACATTTGAGTTTTCCTTCTCTGATAGGTTTCTGCCTCACACAGTTTCTGGCTTTCTCAGGTTCTACTGTAATTGCAAAATCACCAAAAGCGGTAGAGTCCCTGCGTGGCACACAGTCAAGTGCCTCACTGCTAGCTGAAAGGTTGGTGGTTCCTACCCACCCGGAGGTGCCTGGGAAAACCAGGCCTGGCAGTCTGCTTCTGAAAGGTCACAGGCTCGAAAACCCTATGGAGCAGTTCTACTCTGCACATATGGGGTCGCCATGAGTCAGAATCAACTCGACAGGCGCTAACTACCACAAGACACTATACTTCTTCCTTGGGCATTGAGTATAGAGATAAGTTTCATCTCTCTTTCCTCTCTGCCTTTTCTCTCTCCTTCCCTTAATACTGGTTAATATCAGCGGGCTGACACTTAACTTATAAGGTTTCCAAAATTACCAAAAGCAGCAAAGATGTAGCTAATTATCCAAGCCCACCAAGTAGGGACCAGAAGATCCAGAGACTGATGGGGCTCCAGAAGAAAGACTCTCCAGCTGCTCACAGAGCCAGGTATTCCCCCAAAGCATCCTGAAAGCCACAGAAAACAGTGCCTGACTGCCAACTCC